CCCCCACCCCCCGCCGCGCATTCCTTGAACACCAGTGGCATCCAGGGACCACCTCCACGTGCCTCTTGAATCCCCCGTTACCCCTCTGGGAATTGTCCCCAACCTCTAAAACCTACTTCACATACTGGTCCACCCCTGAACACCACTCCTATCCTCCTAGGGGGGTAGGTCCCCAGCTTCACCACCCCCAGCTCTCCCACTGAGCTTGGCAGGGCTGGCAGCACATTCATGTCTGGGGGAAGGTTGTGGCAGGGACCACGTCCACACCCTGACTCTATTCGTATCAGGACACACATCCTTCCCACCTAGGTGAACCAAGGAAACATGCCGGGGATCCAGAGCACCTTTCTGGCCATGGACACGGAGGAGGGGGTAGAAGTGGTGTGGAACGAACTCCACTTCGGTGATAGGAAAGCCTTTTCGGCCCATGAGGTGAGCCCTGTCCATCCTTCCTTTGCTCCATGTCGTGATTGCCCCCATGACTATCCATCCTCCTTCCCTAGGAGAAGATCCAGACCATGTTTGAGCAGCTGGCGCTGGTAGACCACCCCAACATCGTCAAGCTGCACAAGTATTGGCTGGACGCCTCTGAGGCCCGAGCAAGGGGGAGCTAGGGGCGGGGGTGGGGCGGAGAGAAGCCACAGGCTGGGTGGGGCAGCATGGGGACCCACCCGCAACGGCGGAGCCCGCCTGCCCGCAGGTCATCTTCATCACAGAATACGTGTCGTCTGGCAGCCTCAAGCAGTTCCTCAAAAAGACCAAGAAGAACCACAAGGCCATGAACGCCCGGGTATGGGGAGTGGGCTGGGGACTGAAGGGAGTCCAAAAGAACTTAGGACAGTAGTGGGGCGGGGGACTCAGAGTGGCCTCGGGACAGGAGCGGGGTAGCGGGTGGGCTCCGCAGGCTCAGCAGCCTTTTGGTGCCCACCCGACGGAGTCGTGCGTCCGCTGCCAGGCCTGGAAGCGCTGGTGTACGCAGATCCTGTCGGCACTCAGGTGAGGACCTGGGCTTGCCCACGCGCTTGCCCCCTGCTTTGCACCTTTCCGGTGCCCTCTGACCCGGTTCTTCCTGCCTGCCTTCCTCTATGCTTGTAGCTTTTTGCACGCCTGCAGTCCCCCCATCATCCACGGGAATCTGACCAGCGACACCATCTTCATTCAGCACAATGGCCTCATCAAGATCGGCTCTGGTGCTGGCGAGGCGGGGCGGGACAGGGGGCAGGGTTGGGGAACCTGCGGGAGCCCAGAGACTGCCCAGTGTGCCAGCCTGCTGACGCCTGCTCTTTCTCTCCGCGTTGGCCATTGCAGTGTGGTACCGCATCTTCTCCAATGGTGCGTGGGGCCTCTGGGGGTGTGGGGACCGTGGAGAAACTGGTCTGCTCAGCCTTCGTGCTCTTCCTTAGCACTTCCTGATGATCTCCGGAGCCCCATCCGCGCTGAGCGGGAGGAACTTCGAAACCTGCACTTTTTCCCACCAGAGTATGGCGGTGAGTCCTTAAGGAGCTCTAGGGTACCTGACCTGTTGGCACATCAGATTGACCAACCCTACCTGTTTTTTCCCATTTCAGAAGTCAATGATGGGACTGCAGTGGACATCTTCTCCTTTGGGATGTGTGCATTGGAGGTACTGTCCACTCTCTGCATAGCCGCTCCTCCTCTGGGCTCCACCCCGTCTCACCATGTCCAATGTGCCCCTGTACCCAGATGGCTGTACTGGAGATCCAAGCCAATGGGGATACCCGGGTCACAGAAGAGGCTATTGCTCGAGCCAGGCACTCACTGAGTGACCCCAACATGCGGGTAAGCAACTTACTTTGCCCCTCTGGGGCTGGCTGCAAGTCTGGGGCAGGCTAGAGGTGTAGCCTGGTCAGTGCATCTGAAAGTGTACCAGCTGCTGTGCACTAAGGCCTACCTGGAAGAAAAGACTTCTGGGAGCTGACAGATTTCACAAGGACGAATGGAAGTAGAGCATGGATGTTTGGGGCTCGAGGCTTGCCTGTTCTCAAGTTTACATCAGATCCTAAGCTGCTGATTGGATGCCTTTCTCTTCCATGCATTCATACAGGAAGGCTCCTGCAGCATCACTGAGGAGGAAGGATGTGGTGATCTTGTGGGGTCTAGGGTCTCAGGGACCTCCTTTAGAGCAAGGATGTTCCACCCACCACCTGCCTTTTCCCTCTACAACCTAGGAATTCATCCTCTCCTGCCTGGCCCGGGACCCCGCCTGCAGGCCCTCTGCCCACAACCTTCTCTTCCACCGAGTGCTCTTCGAGGTGCATTCGTTGAAGCTGCTGGCAGCCCACTGCTTCATCCAGCACCAGTGTGAGGGGCCGACGAGCTGGGGTGGCCCAGGACCCTGGGGTCAGAACATGGAAGGGTCTTTGCAGGACCCTTGGCTTGCGCCCATCTCCCTGAGCATGTTTGTGGTTCACAGACCTCATGCCAGAAAATGTGGTAGAAGAAAAGACCAAGGCAATGGATCTACATGCAGTCTTGGCTGAGATGCCCCAGCCCCAGGGACCCCCAATGCAGTGGCGGTGAGCGGTGGCTACTTAAGGCCTCCCCTGCTAGCTGCCTGGCTAGCCTTTGGTCTGACCTCTCCTCATGTACCTTCCACCCCATTCTAGGTACTCAGAGGTCTCCTTCTTGGAGCTGGACAAATTCCTAGAGGATGTCAGGTGAGAGCTGGCATGAGACTGAGGAAAAGCACTGTCAGGCCTGAGCCCCCAGCTACCCCCTGGTATATCTCCAGGAATGGGATCTATCCACTGATGAATTTTGCGGCTGCCCGGCCCCTGGGACTTCCCCGTGTGTTAGCCCCACCCCCGGAGGAGGCCCAGAAGGCCAAAACCCCAACACCAGAACCCTTTGACTCAGAGACCAGGAAGGTGAGTCCCAACTCCTGCTGCATTGTGCTGTCTCTCAGAATTGCCCACAACTCTATAATGGGTGCCTTTCTCTGGAGACCTGTGTCTCTCACATCCCAGTTCTCCTCCAGGCCGCCAGAGACCAAACCCAAGTTGACCCCTTTGTGGAAACTGTAACCAAACGGAGACACCTGTTTTCTCCAGAGGCTTCTTGCTTTTGCAGCTCTTTCTCCATCCTGTTGCACACCCCATTCCAGAGGTTTTGGCCACCTCCATTCCTCATCTGGATCCAGAATCCAGAACCATTACCAGGGTCTCCCTCCGTGTAGCTTCCGTCCTTCCACAGTGCACCCTAAGTTCAAATGCTGGGAGTCCAAATGTCCTGTCTCTGGATCCTGGCTGCCCAGAGAGCTAGTGGAAGGCAGTGTGAACCCCAGCCTCCTGGCCTGCTCCTACTGGCACCTTACTTTTCTGTACAGTCACATCCTGGGACACAACATTCCTCTCTCTGTCTGTGTCTGTGTCTGTGTCTCTCTCTCTCCTCTCTCTCTCTCTCTCTCTCTCTCTCTCCTTTTCAAGGCATTCTATTCATCACTCAGTATGCAAACTGAAGGCCTGTGAGCCTTCACTCATCTTCAATGCTGGTTCTGTGTCATGAGCTTTCTGGACTTCCCTTGGAGAGGTTTACCTTGTTTCAGTCTCTGCTGATCCTTCTGGAAACCTTTGCTAAGTAGTTCTCTGTGGCTAATACAGCTTCCCTACCCTCAGGTGGTCCAGATGCAGTGCAACCTGGAGAGAAGTGAGGACAAGGTTCGGTGGCATGTGAGTGAGGGCCTTGGGCGGGGCTCGGGGAGATGGGAAGGAATCAACGCTGGTGCTGCCCTGACCTTGCCATCTCACCCACAGCTCACTCTGCTTTTGGTGCTGGAGGATCGTCTACATCGACAGCTGACCTATGACCTGCTCCCAAGTAGGCTGATAGGGGACCAGGTATTGGGCTGAGGCTTGGGTGCTGGCTGGTGCCACAACTCACTTGTTCTATGTCTTCTCTTCAGCTGACAGTGCCCAGGACCTCGCCACTGAACTTGTGCACTATGGTTTCCTGCATGAGGTAGGTGGAGTGCACTGCAGGTTTAGAAAGGTACAGGGTGGGCCGAGCTGCCCAGTACTCCATGCCTCCCTATCCATCCACTGCAGGATGACCGGACAAAGCTAGCAGCTTTCCTGGAGACCACCTTTCTCAAGTACCGTGGGACACAGGCTTGACCTTCCCAGTCCTGGCAGCCCAGCAGGGACACCAGGGCTTGGGGTTGTCCACTTGGCAAAGAGCCACACTGCTCACAGCTGCCTTCTGTGTTCTGTGGAGCCAATGAACACAGGCCCTGCTAGTGAAGACCCTGCCCCACCCCCAGCTTTCTGCAGCAATGTGGGTGCCTGGGGTGGTGATGGAGCCCCAAGCCTACATGGGAGTAGAGGATACAGGTCATTTAGGAGAACTACTCCATCTGGTATTGGACAACAGCCATACCTTCAGATGACATAGACACCTAGGGAAGGACCCTGAACTCAAAAGTAATAGAGCCACAATCCTGGGCATCAGGCAGATCAGGCCTGGTTGGAGAATCAGAGAGAGTTTAGAGAGCTTGGGGTTGGATCCATGGCCAGCAAACTCCTGGTCCCCCCAGACCAGTCCCGATCCCATGCAGACCTTCCCTGAGCCCTTCCTCTGATCTTCCACACACTTGAGACCAGAACCTGTGTCCTCCCCAATGTCCTCCAGCAGGATCTCCTGTTCTGCATCCCTGGTCTGAGGACTCAGAGGTCTGACATCCTCTACCCCTCCTTCCTGGGGAAGTTGTGTTGGAACTCTGAGGCTGAGGGCTCCAGGCTCCCTCTTCCTCCCCAACCCAACTTGTCTCAATCTTACTCATTGCAAAGTCCTGACAGAGTCTTCCCGGCACAACCATCCCGATTTCTTGGTTCTTGAACTGCCTGTCTTCCAACTTCAAATTTAAAGGTCTTAAATGTTTTAAATGTATAAATTTAATGCATTCAAGTTCCTTTTAAAACACTTCATCTGTGAAACCAGAAAGGTCACTACTGTATTATTATAGTTCCATATTGCTGCTGTCACACTTACCACAAACCTAGTGGCTTGAGACAACACAAATACTGCTCTGTACATCTGGTTTGATTCAGGCCCTCACTAGACTAAAACCCAGGCATCAGTGGCTGTGTTCCTTTCTGGAAAGTGGGGGTGAGTTGGGGGTGGGGCTCACCTCCTGTTCCTTCAAGCTATTGGCAGAATTCCCTGCCATGGTAAGGCGGAAATTCCTACTTTCTTACAGCTGTCAACTAAGAGCCCTTCTCAGCTTCTAGAAGCCACGAACTTTTCTTAACTCTCCTTCCACCTTCAAGACCAGCAGCATCAGGTTGAATCTCTGTCATGCACTAGCTGTCTGGTTTTCCACTGCCTGGAAGGTTGGGGCCATTGTGAGTAGGTTGGACCCACCTACATAACAGAGATGACATCCCTCTCAGGGTCTTTAGAGGAGCCACATCTGCAGAGTACCTTTTGCTATGGAGACTAATTATCCCGGGTTTCGGTGCTGGAGGAGAGACCTGGGCACACGCAGGGGTGGGGGTCTTCTTGTGTTGCCTACCATACCATCTTAACCAAAACCTAAAATAAAGCATATTTGTCGTGGGACATCTAATAAATTGAATGAACACTGATTATGCATGGTCTGACTTAGTTTATCTGGAAAATCCATAAGAGATTGTTCGAATGATTAAACTGATCTGAGAGCATCAGTGCTGTACTTTATATTGTCTCTGTTCAGCTTATCTTTTGAGATAAGATACAGTCTTGCTATATAGCCCCACTTGGCTGGAACTCAGAATTTAGACCAGGCAGGCCAGTGCTGTGAGCCATCATAGGTGTGAACTATCATGCCTTACTGCATATTCTTTTAGAAGTAGAATTGTTGGGAGTTGGCAGGGTCAATAGTAAATAACAAATAGTCTTCTACCCTGATTTTCCACAAATTCCAGTCTCTTAGCCTCAGCCTGGAACTCATCCCATAGACCAGGCCTGCCTCAAACTCACAGAGATCTGCCTGTCTCAGACTCCCCAATGCTGAGTAAAGGTGTATGCCACCATGCCAGGCCACAAGCATGCTTTTGGTCCTGTTTATTGATTTTTATATATTAGGTGTTACACCTAATATATATATTATTATATATTAAGCTGCCCACATGGCAGCTTCTAAGGCTAGTCACTTTCCCACCCTCTGATCCAGCATCATTCGAATTTGATGGGCATCACGGCTGTGTGAGTATCTATGTGTAGGTCTTAGCAAGGAACAAGGTGTCCTAGGATATGTTTTCTTTCTTGCACAATTTTTTGTTTTCTCTGAAGTTAATAATTTTCCTTTTTGCTTAGTTTTCTAAAAAACATTCATTTGTGTGTGTGTGTGTGTGTGTGTGTGTGTGTGTGTGTGTGTGTGTCATAGAAGGTCAGAGGGAAGTCTGTGGGAATTTTTTTGCTAGCATCTGGGCTCAAGGGATTGAACCCAGATTATCCAGCTTGGTGCCGAGCCTCCCACCAGGTCTTCTCAGTTTTCTGTATGTGCTTGCCATTAATTTATTATAGTCCTCTCAATATTTAGTACAACTGACCACTATCTCTCCTCTTCCTCAGTCTCCATGGTGAGAGCCTGATGCCTCAGGCTGCTTGTTCTGTATTGGGGTTCAGTTGCACGTGCTGCCTTGTGCCAGGCTCTACTGCATGCTTCTCCCTTTACCCGACTTGAAAAGGAACATCCTTCAAATCACCCGAGAAAAGTATCTGGGAAAATATGGAATCTTCACCTGTTTGTCATTCTTTTGTTTGGCTTGGTTTTTGTTTGTTTTTAAAGACAAGGTTTCTCTGTGTAGCCTTAGCTGTCCTGGAACTCACTCTGTAGAGTGGGCTGGCCTCAAACTCAGAGATCCACCTGCCTCTGCCCTCCACCTCCCTAGTGCTGGGATTAAAGGTGCACATCTATTCTAATCTTATACATGCCTGAAAATGTACTGAGGTACAATAAGTTTGCTTAGCTGAAAACCCTCTCTCCTCAGGACTCAAGGGTGTCATGTTACATTCTTCTAGTTCCAGGAATTGCCATGCTTCTCAATTCTGACCTTTTGTGTAAGAGCTCTTCTGTCTCTCCTGTCTTTTTTTGCCTAGTGTTTTGGAAATTCCAGAAATTCACCACTGGGGGGGGGGTGGTGGCATTTTAGTGAATTTTTCTCTATTTTCTGGTTACAATTTTTAAATGAATATTTGTATTTTCTATTTTACATTTGTCATGTGTTTATGTATATGCACATGCATGCATGAGCTGATCATGAGAGGGCTCAAGGGCAGAAATACTTTTTCCCTCTTATTTTATTTTCGATACGTCCCAACCGCAGTTTCCTCCCCCTCCCCTCCTTTTAGCCTCCCCAACCCCCCAGATCCACTGCTCCTCCATTTCCCTTCAGAAAAGATTATTGAAATGAATATTTGTATTTTCTATTTTACATTTGTCATGTGTTTATGTATATGCACATGCATGCATGAGCTGATCATGAGAGGGCTCAAGGGCAGAAATACTTTTTCCCTCTTATTTTATTTTCGATACGTCCCAACCGCAGTTTCCTCCCCCTCCCCTCCTTTTAGCCTCCCCAACCCCCCAGATCCACTGCTCCTCCATTTCCCTTCAGAAAAGAGTGGGCCTCTTGGGGATATCTGAGGAACACTGCATAACAAGATACAATAAGACTAGGCATAAACCCTCGTATCAGGGCTAGGAGAGGCAACCCAATAAGAGAAAAAAAAGGTCCCAAGAGCAGGCAAAGAGTCAGAGACACCCCCATTCCCACTGTTAGTATCACAAAAACACCAAGCTAACAACCATAACATATATGCAAAGGACCTAGCGAAGACCCATGCAGGTTCTGTGATGGCTACTTCAGTCTCTGTGAGCCCTTAGAAGCCTGCTTAACTGAGTCTATGGTCCGTGTTCTCCACCTCCTCTGGCTCCTACAATTCTTCCTTGGGGGTTTTCCAAGTTCCAAGGGGAGGGACTGGATGGAGATCTCCAATTTGGGCTCTTTTTTGCCTAATGTTTGTCTCTGCATCTGCTCCCATCAGATGCTCAGGGAGACTTCTCTGATGACAAGTGGAATAGGCACTGATTTGGACTTCTGGCTGCCAGGGTGACCTCTGGTAGAGCAGGGAGACAAAAAAAAAAAAAAAAAAAAAAGCAACTCTGTGAAATTCTGGGACTCAGGTGTTTTTTTGTTTTTCAAGACAGGGTTTCTCTGTGGCTTTGGAGGCTGTCTTGGAACTAGCTCTTGTAGCCCGGGCGGGTCTGAGGACCCAAGGAGCCCCCCCTGCCTCTGCCTCCCGAGTGCTGGGATTAAAGGCGTGCGCCACCAACGCCCAGCAGGCTCAGGTATTTTACATGAGCAGAACTCAGGAAAGGGACATTGCCCATTGGTAAATCTTAAGAACATGGTGCATCCGGGGAGTGGTGGCACACACCTTTAATTCCATCACTCAGGAGGCAGAGACAGGTGGATGATCTCTGGGTTGGAGGCTAGCCTGGTTGGAGGCTAGCCTGGAAATCAAGTTCCAGGACAGCCAGGGACACAGTGTCTGGGAAAAACAAAAAACTTGGTCCAAGCAGGGCGGTGGTGGCACACGCCTTTAATCCCAGCACTTGGGAGGCAGAGGCAGGGGGGGGTGCTTTGGGAGTTCTAAAGAAGACAGATTCAACATCTCACTAAGTTTTAAGTTTTTAGCAGTTTGCCAAAGATCTTTCTAAATGGAAAGCTGCCACCAGAACGTGGTGCTTGGGGTTCCCCCTGGTGGTGGGTTGGTAAGACCCAGGCCACTTACCCTGAGGGGTGCAGGAGTGGGGGTGGGCTCTATTTTCAGAGGCTCTGGTAGGCCCATCTTGTTCTAAATCTTGGAGACTATTATTACAGTTTCTGTTTTCTGGGACCTTTCAAAAAAATGTTTTTGAGACAGGTTTTCTCTGTGTTAGCCTTGGCTGTCCTGGAACTCTCTGTAGACTAGGCTGACCTTGAATTCATAGATATCCACTTGCTTCTGCCTCCCAAATGCTGGTACTAAAGGCATGTGTCACCACTGCCTGACTTTTTTGTAGGTAGGATTTCTTTATATCTGGCTGTCTTGGAACTAAACTACTTGGAAAGGTAGACCAGAATGGCTTTCAACTCATTAAAATCCCTCTGCCTTGCCCCTGCCTCGAATGCTGGCATCAAAGGTATTCGTCATCACATACAGCTCAACTTTATTTTACAGTCTATTAACTTGCCCATTTTCAGATTTGTTTGCTTTTTTGAGACAGGGTTTCTCTGTGTAGTCCTGGCTGTCCTGGAACCCTC